CCCCACTTCATCATTGTGACAGACTCTGCACATATGCTGACATTTACATTCACTCTCTAACAGAAACCCTGTTGATAAAGAACTTTTGGCCCAAATCCTAGACTCACTCTTCTTCCGAAACCTACCGACTATCTTGCTAATCCTACCGACTATCTCTTTTTGACTGGATGTTCTCTTCTACATTCAATCATCTGTGGTTCAAGATCCTATGCCATTGTATATCAATTTATCTGAGACATCTGTGCAGAACGTAATTCACAGCTAAGTATCCTAATCAAGGGCCCAATGCCCTTCTGGGCTTCAAATCATACCTAGATTTTTGTTTTCATACTTATATTTCACCTATATATTATTTTAAATATCGAAGGTTCACAAAACCATTCTTCATCCAGCAGAATGATTCCTAACACAAATCGAACATGTTATTAACCCTAATCTAACTTTACAGAAGATAAGGGACAGAGTTGGTCTTACAACTCAGGAATATAGGAGATCTTCCACCTGCTGAGAACCTCAATGGTCCATGCAGAAATGATTCCTGGAAAAGATGTAGGCAGCTATGAAGGACCTGAGAGAGCAAAAGTCATCTTCCATGGCAAACAATCCTGCGGGATGAAGGAATGTGTCTGAATGAGCCTCTCTCTTCTTAATGTAAAGAACATGGACCAAACCAGGACTCTGTGGAGAGCTGTTCCCAGGTGCCTATGGATTATATACCATTCTAACTTGTGAAAGTGTCACATGAAGCAGGGTCAGCCTCCCTCTCATGGGACCCTTGGAAGCAACTGTTAGGACAAAGTGGTTGCCAAGGCAGTGACCTCATTCAGTTCCTGAAGGAAGTGACCTCACCTCACTTCCTTGGTGATGGAACTCTCTGAACTTGGGATCCAGGAAGCCAGACACCCAGAGCCAGTCCCAGTGCCAGTTCCAGTGGTCTCACTTGTTTGGATTTACCAAAGACAGAGTCAGTCTTTCTTGGTACCTACTTATGTGAAGATGGCCAAATGCCAGGAAAGCTCTGAAGAGGGGACGTTCCTGAGAAAGCAGATAGTGAGTGGCTCACCTCTGGCTCCTGACAACTTCACAGAGTTGGCCAAGGAGGCCAGATCTGAGAGAGGACAGGCTATTTTGGGGGAACATAGTATGGCCCACCAGTCAGACGACACTGCAGATAGTCAGAGACCTACTTGGGGGAAGGAGGTGCCTTTGTGGGTGTGCGTGTGAGTTTGTGGTTTTGTCTCATGTTATGAGAATTTTTAGGAAAGGCAGTTTGTTTCGTTTGGAGTGGATTGTTTCTAGTAAGTCATTTGACAAGGCGATTGTTTCTATGTCTGTGTATCCCACTGTGTCCCTGGTTGCAGACAATAGAATACAGAATGCATCAATGGATGTGTCCTGTCTAGTAGAAAACTTCCCAGCATTTATCCCGCCCAATTTATGAATTGACTGGGGCTTGCCTTATCGATGGGCAACACCTACTATCTTCCTAAGTTCCTGTTTTCTTCCTGAATTCTGGCCACTCTCCAGAATAGGCTCATGGTTTTTTGTGCAAGATATGTACCACCTCCAAGCTGTGTTACATGACCATGTAATGGATAGCTGAAGGGAATTTAGGGCATCTCAGAAAACTCAGTAAAGTCTCAGTTGAGAAACCCTGCTTTGGGTCTTTTGCTTACCTATCGTTCTGTTGCCCTGAATGTCAGGAATGTCTTTGCCTCTGGCCAGCCCTTTGTGAAGCCTGAAGAAAACAGTTTTCAAATGGAAATGAATGGGCATCACCTGTGACTCCTTGCTTAAGTGCTTTGGAAAGGGATGTGTCTGAATCAGCCAATGGGCCCTGTTTGAGGCTGTGGCTTATATTCTCAGCACCTGATGAATGTAAATAAAGATCCCATGTGTGCATCCAAAACAAAAATGGCAAAAGTGCAGTCATTTTTTCATGAAGTTGTCTTGCCTTCCTCTCTGATGTTCCTGACCTCCTGAGAATAGGGATATTTTGTGTCAAATGAGTTCTTCAAAGCTCTGCAGAGGCTAGCCCATAGGTACTTGATTTTCCTCATGACTACAATTCACATAAAGAATCTATACCTGACAGTCAGTAGGCCTCAATTTTGAGAAGCAGAGCAGTATTAAGGGCAGGCCTATTGGATCACCCCTGGTTGAAAGGAAGGGTTTCCAGGCCACCCTGTCTTTAGGCAAATGAGGGGCAAGGGAGCCTATTTTGGACAGTCTTGGGCTGCGCCCCTCATGGAAACCTTCAGCCAGAGGTCATGATGAGTGTCTATATGGAAGAAGATCAGGGCCATGTGGCAGTGATTTGGTTTGAATTGTGCTCATTTGTGTGGCAGTTGGAAGAGATGACTGGGTCCACCTGGGCTTGAACTCTGGTGTGATTCCCCTTAGAGACTGAATTCTGGGACTGAACTCTGAGAAGTATTGCCATGAATTGTGTTGGGATTTTAGGAGGCCAAGCATGAGAGTTGCCCTTGGAAACTGAGATCTAGGCCCTGGGTGGCTTTCCGCATAGCACTGGGTATCTCAATCAGGATATTACTTGATTTTATTCTTAAAGCCTTGGCTGCCTTGTTGAGAGTCAAAACACTCATGGACCTCACATTGTAGATCTCATTGGGCCTGCCTTCCTGTGATCTTTTGGACACTATTTGGGAATCCTTACCTGTGATAGTTCTCCAGAGCATTCATTGAAAGGATATTCCTCACCTCTTAATGGTTCCTGAAAGAATTGAAACCTGAAGTGCCTCCTACTTCATCCTTGAAATATGACCACATAAATACTGTGAAATTTTTGCAATTCCCATTACCAGGAAGCACTAGAGAACCTTTGGATGTCCTGTTGCTCATCAGGACTGAACCAGACAGTGCCTTGATTGACTGGGTTTCATCAAAATGGTGTAGAACAGAGATGCAGGTAAGTTGGAGCCTGCTGGGAATTGGGCCTGGAGCAGTGGCGTGTATGTGTGTGATAAAATATTTGTGGTGGGACCATGTGGATCTGCCATTGGCTTCAAAATGACTTGTGACTGACATGGTGCAGCCATCAGACTCGTATATATAAAGGCATAATATTATGTGGGTAGGAGACTGGGCAATTCTGAGAATCAGTTTGCTACACTCAATGGGGAAAGATTGATGGGATAGCAGCCCAGTAGGTCTATTCACCTGCACACCCTGATCCATCACATGTGACAGAACTCCCTCCAGCCCTGTGTCCCAGTTGACCTCCTTGTGTTTCATTAAGCAAATACCAAACTTTCAGTACAGCAGCAAGAAACACAGTGAAAATTGGAGGATGATGCAATGCCTTCACAGTCCACACGAGGAGATACTCAGCCCCCAGTGGCCACAGTTTACCTACAAAGAGACGAGTCAGCATTGCTGCCTCATGTTCATTGGAAAATAATCAACCATATCCTCCTGTTCACATAGATGCAGACCCTGCTTTGATGGTCTCATTACAAATGAATCTAACGCTCCTGACACCAACATATATTTCAAGTGCCCAAACTCGGAAGTAGGTTGTCAAGTATTCACTATTCCAGCATAGCTCCTTTTTTGTGGAGTGATTACCCTCTTTGTTACTTTTGGAATCTCCTCTACCACCTCCAAGGTTGTGATCTCTTGAGCATTTTCCATTGTAGTTATGTATTCACAGATATTTGTCCTCTTTTTTTCTAATTGTGCCTTACTTGGGGGCGAAGGTAATGTCAAGGCATTGTTCTGGATGAGAGTGGGAAGATTTTTGTGAAGCACATCTTCACATATGCGTTGGATTCATTTTTCGTTTTTCCGTTTGAAATGTTGAATATGACACTATCCCATACCCTGCTAGACTCTGACTACTTATTATAATATGGATAAAAATAAACCTAAAAGGAAATAAGTACAGGCATTTCATAGGAGGCATGGTGTATACTAGGACTTGCCTTTTGCTTTATCAAGGATATGTGTTATAAAACTAGTCATATTTTCATTCTAATACTTCTCCATGAATTTTCAAAGTTAACAAATGTGTAACTTCCTGACTCCTTTTCTCTGTCACCTGGGTCAGAATATGTATTCTTATATACATATACATAGTCCTACCTGCTATCACAGGTACATTCTTGTGAGTACTCTGACTTTGTCAAATACAAATTTCATGACCAGATCACTCCCTGTAAACACTGATGGAACTGAAATTCAAACTATTCTGAGCTCCATATTTCAATAAATTTATGCATGAAACCATGTGCAGTTGCTGCAGTCTGGCTGGGCACAAAATAACCGAGCCACCACAGAAGCCTTGTAGATTCAAACAGCAACTCTTTATTCCCGAACTCTCACTGACACTCTACACGCAGGTTCTGCGAAAAATACACTCCCTCCACCGGGCTCTGCGTACCAGTACTCTCAAAATCCCATGAGAACTCAAAGGGAACTCCAAAGAGTGCGTGCCTGAGGCAGCAGGATATGCCCTAATCCTGGAGCTGCCCAGCAGGATCCACCCTAAACCTGGAGCTGCCCTATTCCCAGCAGGATCCACCCTAAACCCGGAGCCACCCTAATCCCTGAACAGGGTCACCTTTCAACCCAAAATGCCATGCATCATTCCTACTTGGCTATGGTTCTTATCATACAGTAAAATGAATATTTTTGTGAATGATATATATTCCATTGTGAATTTCGATTGCCATTTGTACTCCTACTTTTTAATGTATATATAATATATATATATATATATATTCTCCATGATTTTCGAAACATGAAATATATGTGTCATATATACACTTCCTTGATTCTTTCATGTTCATGTATGTAAATTTATAATCAACTTTTCAAAGATCATTCTCAGAAATATTCATTTTCCTAACATACACATTCTGAATACTCAAAACTAACTTCAATGAATATTGAGTACTAAAGGTAATATTTCTACAGTAACTCACCCCAGTTTAACATCAATACAAGTATGTTCTTATGGAACATGATGTGTATTTTGATGTTAATTTTCATTCAACATTGGTACATTAGTATTTCTTCAGTATATATACATCAGAGGATATATCCTTTCATCCACAAGTTTAAAATTTATATGCATATGATTCACTTTCAATCTATTCCTGCATCAGAATACATGAATTCTTCCATGTTTCTTTACTTGCTTTTTCATGAGGTTTCTTTCATAACATTTTACTTTGAATTTCCATAATCATTTTTGAACAAAACTCAAACACACTTTGTTATAAATAGTAACCTAATATTACCACTAGATGTATAACCAGTTAGATTAAATGTATGTATATGAATACCAGATTACATGTATATTTTACAATATTAATTCAACCAATTATTTAAAATTGGAACCAGTTATATTTTTTATTCACATTATGATGTATTCATGCATCATCTCTATATTCATAGGCACATGGTACACCTATTTGTATCCCCAAACACTAATTGATAAAGTTTCAAAACATGCTCCCAGAAATGATGGAAGAAATAATTATGTCACCTGTTCTACATACTTATTTCATCACAGTAATATTCTGGACACAAAATGTAAAGCTCTTAGTTATCTTATGATTCTACCAAAGCCTAATTTTAATGACAGCATGGATTACTATTCCATAGTCTGCATATGGGTATATTTAAGTCTTTAAAAATCTGACAATGAGACATGGGGTTGTATCCTGGAAGGAATATGTTTTTTTTGGTCTCTCTCTTTTACTCTCACTTTGTCCTTCCTGGTTAACAAGAGCTGAGCACATTTGCTATATCAAATGCACTCTGGCATGATTCTTTGCCTCACTAAAGGCCTAAAAGCAATGGAATCAACAAATTATAAACTGAACCTTCTGATACTCTGTATAAAAATACATCTTTTCTCTTTAAGTTGATTTTCTCAGGTATTTTTGTCACAGTGATGGAAAGTTTGCCAACAAATCTTTCTGTCTATAATATCTTAGGTTAAAATTGGCCAAGTTTCTGCTGATAAAATAAAAACATAAATGATGAGAAGAATATAAAAACAAATAAGTACGTTTTAAAAAATATAGGAACAAAAAGGAAAGAATTTGCAGAGACCAAGGTCCAGAACATGTGATAACACTATCTTCCAAGCTGATAACAACTCCAGGTTGCCTTGATCTTTAACAGTCTAAAATGGAATTGCAGAGTTATGCAAAACATGTACTCTGGTTTGGATCTTAAATAATCACTGAAAAGTTCATGGGTTAAGCCATTCTCAAAGTCAAAACATTGTATTATGGTAAGTGAAGTTAGCCAATCCCAAAAAAACAAATGTCAAATGTATTCTATGATATAAAGATGCTGATTCATAATGGGGATGGGGGTGGGAAGCATGGGAGGATTAGACAAACTCTAGATAGAGCGAAGGGAAGGGATAGGAAGGGAGTGGGCATGGAGATAGGAAAGACTGTGTAATGAGATAGACATTATTACCCTAAATACATGGATGAAGACAGAATGGTGTGAGTTTCATTTGTATACCAGAGATATGAAAAATTATGCTCTATATGTATAATGTGAATTGTAATGCATTCTGCTGTCATATATAACAAATTAGAATAAAAAATAATAAGAAGAAATTGGATTATGAGACTTGTATCCACATAAGTGGATTAATCTTCACTTAATGGATTAATAATTTGAATGCACTACTGGATGCTAACTTTAGGCATGAAGGGTGTGGCTGGAGGAAGTATGTCAATAGATGATTCTTGATTTGAAGTATATCTATCCCAGGCACCTCCCCCTCTCTTTTCTGACTTATATGAGCTGATATGCTTTACTTTGCCAGCTCTTACACCATGATGGTCTGCCTACCTCAGGCCCAGATCAATATAGTTGGCCAACCATGGGCTAATACCTCTAAAAATATGAGTCCCAAATACACTTTTACTCCTCTAAGTTTTTCTTTTCAGTTATTTTTATTACAGTGACCAAAAAACTGACTAACATAGATATTGGTACAAAGAAGTAGGGTCATGACTGTGACAATACCTGACCATATGGTTCAGAAAAATTTAAAACTGATAGATGGGAGGAGTTTTAAAAAGTATATAGATGCAAGCTGGAAGAGGCTTAAATGTCATAATCAGAATATAATGGGTAATTTAGTGGGAACTCAGAAGAACCACAATGCCCTTGGAAATGAAGACAGGAAAGACTTAACTCATGAGGTTTCAGATAAAATAATGATTCTGTTGGCAATTGGACTACAGGCCATTCATCTTACATTCTGGCAAAGAACTTGTAAACATTTATCCATGCCCTAAGACTTTCTGTGAAGCTGAATTTATAAGTGAAGGACTAATTAGTATTGTAGAGGACATTTCTGACATCAGCATTCAGACAGTGCCATGAGTACTGCTAGTAGCCTTTAGCAAGGTTTACAATGCAAACTGGGAATAAAAAGCAAATAGGAAAGATTTGGAGAAATTGCAGTTTGGCCAGAGAAGGACTTGTAAAAAATGGGTTTAAGGAATTCATGATTGTTGAAGAGATTATGTGCACTAATGAGAATTACTTTAGAGAAAGACAATGGAAATGTTTTAAGGGAAACTCATGAACAGGTAGTTCACACATATGACAGGATCAAGAGTGTAAAAGTGAAAATTACTTTAAGAGATATTGGGGAGAGCCTCTTGGAACTGGATGCCTAAGAAAATTTTCTTCATGATTTTTTCCACCCCTACCACCACCCCCACCAATCCTGCCCAGGACACTCTGAGGCTGATGTGTCCCTGGTCTGTCAGGAGTGACAAATTGATTCAATTATAGTCCTTGAACTGCCAAATGACAGATATGATACCTCTCTTGGGAATTTCTCTGTGCAAACATGCCAATCAAAAGATTGCCCTATAGCTGTGGTGATGCCCTCTTAGGGTGTTCTGTGCCAGTCACACA